TAGGACCATTTGAATCATTGCTAAATGTCATTTTATCAAGTATGTTAGATTACAATGTTAGAATACAAATCTTATAGTACCTTTGTTAGCCTCCCTAGCACCTCTATGAAAGGCAATATCTGTCAGTTGATCGTTCTACAATTTTAGACTTTCCAGACTGAAATATCTCCCCCAAAATGTATTCTGTCCCTGTCAGGATGAAATAATGGATCCCCTGACATTTTATCTAGCACCATCATCAGGTCTATATTTAAATTTATCCAATACATTGGTTTATGACAAGAAACCTGCAAAACTACATATGGGACATTCCCATCAGCCTTACTTTGTTGTTAAGAAGCAAATGTTAGCATGCTAACACGATTCCATTAACTTTTTTTGTTGTTACGTTTTTCCTCCCTGCAGCTCCAGCTGTTCATATAAGCATATTTGTTTTGCCTTGTCAGCAATCTTGATGAAAATTGTATTGTTTTATTAAAATGGGAACACAATTTTTAGGCAGACAGTTTTAAAAGAACATAGAAACTCCAAAGTGTCTTCAAAAGGTACAAGCCCTGGCGACCTTTACTTCAATAGTTTCTGACTTACCCTCAAATATTAGTCATCACTGGTCCAACCTGAAATTTTACTGTTGGATGACATCAACTTGAAGACATTACCAATCATACCAGTTCACACAAATTCAGAATACAACTTGGAAACTAGATTAGTGAAATTACATTGTATGTTATCGGCATGTGGTTCTTAATGTAAGTACGTTTGCTAACCAAAATCAAAATGGGCAGTTGACAAGTGATGGTAGTAGAATATAATGCAGCCTGTCTGGATATCATACCTTTCAACAGATCAGCAGAGCAGTGACAGCAGTACTGAAATATTTATCACTGTTTCCATTTCACACGCTCTAATTGCTCTGTATCTATCTGATGGGGAGACAAAGCGGGGGATGCAAACAACGGCTGAGAGAGGAAGAGACATGGAGGGAAAGGAAGAGGTTGACAAAATAGTTCATGTAATACACTGTAAAACACCTAAATCAACCCTAAGTAAGAGTGCAAGTCAGATACATATTTACATATCACAATTGTCATTGGTGTTAAATATTGAATTATAGCACTATATTTGTGAATTCATTTTTCACAGTTCTTCACATGCGGTGGAAACACAAGCAGATAATGTTGATTTATTTCCTATATTGGCTCCAGCTTGTCACGGTTCTGTGTTTTTCTTCCCTAAGGCTGGGTTTACACGTGATTGTGTGGTTAATAACAGTCACAGGTATGGCAAAGGTTTTGATGTTGATAGCACCACCACAACACTACAGTTTTTCTTGCTTAATGCTGGTTTGAAACTGCAACAAACTCCACCGGCATCAGAAGGAGATAACACTGCTCAAGCTGGCCACCCACAGTTTTTGTGGTCTCCACTTAGTCAAGGCTGTTTCTGAACGTTTTAGGCCAGAATTCCACTGGCAGCCAGGGGACTGATCTTTTCTTTATAATATTTTTTAGGAATTAGAATACTTTCACAGTATTTTATCATATATATTCGGTGTCATTTCATCCACATCATCTGTCCATAGATCTCTTTCACAGCAGACATTATGGCATGTCATAGCAGGAAAGGCATAGGTGTTATTGGTAACATTAAAGGTGATGTGAGTCACTTTCAGTGGAACTGAGCTATCATTAACAAAATGTTTATCACATGTACTTTTCCTACTGTGACAAGTAAAAATGTCTGCTGTGAAAAAGGTCTAATAGTACCTTTGCACTTACTACACCAGTTCCTGCCATGTCTTATCCTGGTTTTAATCTTATTCTGGATATGATGTGGAACATAAACCTGGTTATTCATTCATTTCCTCAAGTCTAACGTCATCCAAGTTACAGATAATCTGTGCAGGAGTGTCTCTGACGCCTCAACATCACAATCAGGCTCTATTATTTCTGTATTGAGGTGCAGGTATTATTCACATGAGCAGGGGTGGAAGAAGCAAACAGGTCCTTTACTTAAGGAAAAGTAATAATACCACACTGTGAAAATACTCCACTGCAAGTAAAAGACATGCATTCAAACCCTTACTTAAGTATAAGCATCATCTGCAGTAAGTATCAAAAGTAAAAGTATTTAGGTACAGTTGAGTGTACTTAGTTACTCTACACCTCGTACAATGCACACTTTAGGCCAGAGCAGTTTAGCTCTGCATTGAAACAACATTGTTTCTTATATTTTGTATAGTGTTCTGGTATTTTATGTAATATCCATTTGGAGGGGAAGTCAGTATAGATCTATTGTAGACAGGTTGACAAGTTTTCAACCAACAGCAGCACTTTAAAGAGTTGGTTCACCCGCACAATGTCACAGAAATGGACATAAAACAACCACTATGCTTGCATTATTCACTGCTGCTCGCTATCATGTAATAAACTGAAACTGCTCTATTTAAATATTTTGTGGCTCAGCGGCTCACTCGCTCACAACGCTGTGCCTTCAGAGTCTCTTTGGTGCTTCTACAAGCAGTGCTAGGCAATAGCCTATCTCGACTATGCCTAGAAACTGCACTGCACATGATATTTCTATAGCTGCCATAGCGCCAATGTGTAATTACATTTTTTCGGAGGTGCACATCAGCTATGGCATCTACATGTGTAAGCTCCAACCATATCTATTAAAATGCAAAACATTATAAGTGTTAGTGGGTTGACAGGTTCATGTGACTTCATGCGGCGCTGCGCTAACGTCATGCATGCTGAACCTTAACATCCAGAGCACCGACGACCCCAGTACCGGGGGCAGCACGCGATTTTCGCGCAAAATACAAATGGGAAAATCATGTCTGAAACTACTTTTGCATCACCCTATCCATGCTACACACCTCTTTGAAGCTAGGAGGCTCTAGAACGTCAAACCAACCATTTTTTCCCCCACACATCAAACACCAAGCATCTAAATGAGCTTATATCACAACATAAATCGCTCTGTAATGGGTGTACATGGCTGCAGTTATTGCTATCCAGATATCTCTAATCTCATCCTACACCACAGTCCGACCACTCTAAAGAAAGCTCAGCCCCAACTCTGATCAGTTGTGTAACTCATATCACTCAAATCACAAAACTCACAGAGTCATTAGCCAGATAATAATAATAACAACAAACGCACAATACATATAGAGTTACAACCACTAATTTGCCTTTGCCATTTTTGTTGTTTTCGTCCAAAAACAGCTGTTTTCTGTATGTGAAAATTTCGCCCGGGCCACCACCTTGGTATTGTGCAATCCCTGAGCTGTTAGGTTTCGTTTCTCTCATCAAAATGAAGGAGAGAAGAAGTGTTGCTCAGGAACAGATGGTCTTTATTGCCGTCTACAGGCTGACCCATAGGAGCTACACAGACATCCAATACACCAAGGATGTTCTGTTTTCAAGTTGTGGGCCTACAGTAGCATTTTAATCTACAGGATGATGGTTTTGATAGTGATATTGCTATTAAAATATATCTCCATTTACCTTTTAATTGAAAAATAAATAGGTTTATTTACACTTGATTCATATTCCTTAGCTTCTGACGTTTCAAAGGAGAATTATGCATCTAGGCCTAACGGTTGAGGAGTTATTACTGATTCATTTTGGTTCTGGTATTTTAGGAGTTTTTCCTGGAAATAGGTGTCTGTTTCCAAGAGGGTAAGTCATGCTGGCTAGAAATTGTGTCTGACTTTTTCGGCCGCTGCAAAACGGCACAATGTCACATGACATTAAAGCCTTGGGGGAGACTTTTTTACGGCTGCACAAAGTGGGAAGCACTTCTATGATGACAGAACTACCCTCATTGGTTTTAAGACTTCACAGACACGCACGACTTGTGTGTTGTTATTATTCTAAGAGCTTCAGATTCGTTATCTCTTCTGAAGGGGATGCAATGTATTTGATCTCCTTCTGGCAGCTCACTTTTAAAGTGTGGTCACCGTTTTACACTATAGTTTTCAAATCCTTGCAAAAGCTTACAAAACACTTCAGGAGTGTTATTGTAAAAGATGTTAAGTATTTGCACCTACTATGGTGGCCCTTTTTTAACAGTAGCCTCGGCACTAGCCTATACACCTTAACCCATTGCCTATTGCCTAAGATGTTTTCATAAGATACTGGGAGTGTGTCAAAACTGAACTTGTTTCCTGCCTGACGATAGTCTAAACAACATATTTTGGAGTCAGTAAACCTTAGTGTATAGGTTTTGCAAATCAGTCATATTGAGGATAACACTTATGTACATAAAAAAAACACCTTTGCTGTTCATTTTATTCCTCAGGCAAAAATACAGGATTTCAAATGCATCGATTTCAAATGCATCGATTTCATCTGCGACAAAAAAAGAGGCAAATGCTGCGAGGTCAGCCATTGTTCTAAGCTCACAAACTCTAGGGGAAGTAGAATGTATCCGACTTGATTGCAGTGTTTTTATACCCCATCCCTGTAGTCGCCTGTAGCTCACTTTTGTCTATCAAGTTGGTGAAGGTCAGCAATCCCAAAACAGACAGTTTGCAATGTTTTCGGATGTCCTTGAAACGTTGTGGATTGGGTTTCGAGTTATGTTTTCTCCTGTTTGTTGTTTGTCGCCAACTTTGTAAACACAACTGTGTGTAAAATGCATTGCTCTTGTTTGCACAACATGGTGTTCAAGGCACCACTGTTTCCGTTGAAAAAACGTTTTGCTACGTTTTGTCAGTGCTGAATTCAACCCTGCAGTCATCTCTAACGCACCTATTACAGGCTGAGGATTGGTCAATTTACAGCGCCCCTCTTTAGATGTGAGGAGCCAATGAAATTCTGCTCAGGGCCCCAAAATTTCTTGTGCAGTCCCTGTTTGAGAGAGAGAGAGAGGGGTGGGGGGAGAATGAAGAGAGAGAGGGGGACAGAGAGACATGCGGACAGACAGCGAGGGCGGAGAATACAGGCAGAGAGACATACAGAGAGAGAGAGAGAGAGAGAGAGAGAGAGCGAGAGCGAGGGAGCAGGCTGGGCTCCGGCAGTTGGTCGGTATGTAGCAGCAGCGGAGCTTCTGCCGGGGATTACAAAGAGGTAAAAACGCGCCTTGGATAGAAAATATCACCAACTGGATTAAAATAAGACCACCCGAGGATGCGACGCACACCTTCCGCCTGAAGGAGAATAAAAAACACGCCGATATTCCGCTGATTTATCACAGTTTTTTACGAAAATGGCGAACGACTCCCCGGCCAAAAGTCTGGTGGATATAGACCTCGCATCCCTCAGGGTGAGTGTGTGTTACACAGACATTTTCAGAGTACATTTAAATTTTTTCATATTCACAAATAAAAACACAACCACGTCGTATGCAGTGCTGTTGTTGACACAGCCCTGCGGTGGCTTTTCTTTGTCCAAATACTGCTGGCATGCGAGGCCAGCAGACCGGGCGCAGCTGACTCCTACATCGAACGAACCCACTTGTAAATACTAACGTTACACTTAATCAATGATTTATATTTGTTTGTTTTTCTGCTTAAAAAATACAGGATCCTGCTGGGATTTTCGAGTTGGTGGAAGTGGTTGGAAATGGCACCTATGGACAAGTCTACAAGGTTGGTGTGAGCCTCCATCTCTATCTGTGTGTGCGCGCCTGTGTGTGTGTGTGTGTGTGTGTGTGTGTTAAAGCCCAACCTAGAGAACAAACGGGCGGAAACTGAAGCGCAAACATGCATTTATGTATTTTTTCCCCTCTCACGGTCTTAGGAAAACGTTTATTATAACATGCCCCCTCCCCTCCTCACTTGGGACCGGTGCGGTCTGGACTGGATTATCTCTCTGATAGCGTTTGGGCCTCTCGCTGCTTCACATCTATTCATTAGCCTATTTTTTTATTTTAGCAATGCAAACATCATCCCAGTACACCTATTTTGGTCGTCCCCCCCCCCCCACTGCCGTCTCCTCCTCCTCTCATCCACACCCCAGTAAAATATGCCTTGCATACTGTATGCTTTGCATTGCATTGATCAGGCCAACCCCATCCGTGCATGACAGCCTTTACCACGCTGACCGACTTGTGCGCCATTGGGTGGGCGGTGTTTCATTGCGCATTTGTTCACACCATTGCACAGCAGGCCTTTTGCTGGAGTGGCTCTGTGTTGCATTAATGGGGATAGCACTGATCGCACACACACACAAACAGAGGAAAAGGTATTTGATGGAGACCTGGTTCTCCTGCAGCCCAGATTTCCACCTCCAGTGCTCCATCAGAGATGAGCAGCGACATCATCCTGCTGTTGCCTTGTATAAATGAGAGCAGAGGAAAGAGGATGACTGGGTCAGAGCTACAGGATCTGCCCAGGCATTTACTGAGCTGTTTCATTTGAAGGTAATCGCATGCGGCTCTCTCATGTGAGGAAATGTGCATTGTTGTTGTATGTGGCAGATTGCAAACCACAGTGTTGGTGTACTTTATCAAAGCCTTGGCATTTCTGAACATGCTTTGTTTGGAATTATGTCATGTTAATGTCATATGACCTGTAATCAGAGGGGGAGAAACGTTCAACATTTACCAAAGAAGCATTACATTATGGTTTACTTACCATGAATTATGGACTTTGTTGGATATGCCCAAGCTTTCTCTAAAACGAGATTACCAGTCATACTTACCACTTGGATGCTGTATGCTCTGCTAAATATACCAACCTCCACATGACATTGATGGCTGCATTAGCGAAGCAGAGCCAGAGGTGATTCAGTCACTTCAAAATGAGAATATACACCTGGAGACAAGTTGATATTGTGAAGCTGGATAGCAGTGCACCCTAAATGATGATTTTCACATCATCCTTGTAGGTGGATATGTGTAAATTTCTTATGACAGCTTCAGACTTGTACGAGCTATGTTACTATATTTACAGTATTATAATCAGCTCTACTTGAGAGCAACACGCTACAGTGTGTGTGTGTGTGTGTGTGTGTGTGTGTGTGTGTGTGTGTGTATGGTTGAGTTTAAATGTCATACATGCTTCCATGTGGCTCTGAAAGAGTCCAAAATAGAGGCAGGCACTGTGGATGTGGTTCTGTTTATGCTGTATCGGGTGTACGTTCACACAGTGCAGTCCTGCAGTAACATACAGTCAGCACAGTCATAATTTGGGGATGCACAAGTCCACTAGTGTCCACATGGACCCTTGCAGACATGAGCAGATGATATGCGGAAAGTATATTTTGATCTTTATTCTTCTTCCTGTATGACATAAACTGGCTATTGCTTAGCAGTTTATCGGCTGATGTTTATGGGAAACTTAACACAAATTAACTAACAAACAGTATGGCGTGCTCCTGGAAACTTCAAAATATAGGTCTATATGAGGAGCCATTTTGGGCCTTTATGTGCACAGCTGAAGGGGATGTTACTCACTGGAACTGCTGCAACAAAATTAGGTCATAAGATGTTGACACTGAATCATCATTGTCTGAACATAAATCGTCTGTAATCTCATGCACATTAGTACCATTTCTGTCACATGACGATCAGAGTAACGGCATAATAAACATCCAGGAGTCTGAGCAGGAACCTAAACTGTTGGCACTGGCTCGCTCACATGTTTAAGGGTAAACAAGACCTTGCAGGCTTTTTTTACACAAGTTCTGTGTGGCCTCAGTGTCCACAGAGCTATCTCAAGGTCTACTGTATCTCCAGTTCTGCCTCCTGAGGATTACAAAGTGACCAGCGGCCTTCAGCGATTCCACTTCTGAGAAGAGTGTCACTTTGAATCAGACTTTATGGTCATGGACAATGAGGACGGCCCTGAGGCGAGCCTCAGTGAACCCCTGCTCTGCTGTTACCTCAGTGTGAACAATGAAATGTGTCCTGATAATTATGCACAATGACTGTCGTATGCATGCATTAGGTTATATTTTTTGTGCTAGGAGAAAGCGGCACCACTGAAATCACATCTTGATTTGCTTTGAGTTTTTTCTTTTTTGTTTTATTTGGGGTTTTTTTGGCTCGGGGAGGATGGTGGCTGCTGTAAACGTTACATTAAAGCAGGGGACAAGGGGTTGTGGAAATGCTCAGATGCACTGGAACACAAATTAACCTTGACATTTTGAGTTTAGTTCCTCAGGATTCGGTGAATCACAACCACGTGTGCCATGCAAGTTTGAGCGAGAAAGAACCAAGCTCTGTTTGTGTCTGCACTGCCTGCCTCACAAACATCTGACCCAAAAGCATGCATGTGCGTGTTTGGGTCTGCACAAGTGCACTTGATCCTCAGCACTTGGTGATTGGTTGGGCTTCCCAGGCCAGCGAATGGCTGCAGAGTGTGGCTGACTGAGGTTTGTTGCAGCTGTGTGCACCGACAACAGCTGTTGGGATGGAAAAATAAAATAGGGTGGTGGGGGGTGGAGAGAGAGAGAGAAAAATACAGGAAACGAGAATCTAACTCAGAAAACAGAGAAGCATTCACCACAGTGTTTTTGTTTAGTTGTAAGACAAATTCTGAAGGACCTCAATGTATCTCTCCACATTGTTTGACAAAGTACATGTTAGATCATAAACATCTAGGAAATCTGGTGTTCAAAAATCCCCATCTTAATTTTTTTTTGTTGAAATTTTTACTTCTAAGTGAAAACATCTGTCCGTATGTTTTCAATTTCACTTGTTTCCCATGCGATTTTCTTGATACTCTTGCGGTGATCAGCCTTATTCTTGATAGTAACAAGTACTTCTCATTTATTTAGGTAATGTGATGTTTACAATGTCGGAAATTGTCCTCTTTTTTTCCCCCTCGACAAAGCCAAATTAAAAGCAAAATAAGTCAGTTAATTGAAGACATTCGTCAAGAAGAAAACATCAGCTATCAGCGTATCTGAAATTATAGAAGCAAAAACATGACTGCAAAAAACAACAACACATTAGAATAATCTAAACTTCATTAACATCAACGAAGAGTAAAAAGGTCAGATGTCACAGTGTTTCAGTTTCCATTAAACGGTGGGAGGTAAAGGAAAAATCAAATCAGAGCTGAAGAAAGAGGCAGAAGGAATTTTTAAAAGTCCGGGGTAAGACCACACTAAGCATGTGGGGCTGGGAATCCCCCTCTCTGAGGAAATGGTTTAACCCATTTATGACTTGCTGAGTTTTAGACTCACTGAGCCTCTTACCTTCAAACCACATCTGTAAGTGTTTCAGTTTTACTGAGACAGCCTGCCTTTAAGTTTAGAAAATGAGAGCAAGCAAATCAAACCTTTTTTTTAATTTTTTTTTTATTCTCTGAAATAGAGCAAAGCTGGAGTCGACAGACAGCAAGTGGATGTTTGTGAGGAAGTAGTGAAACGGCGGAAGTCATCAGTGCAGTGATGATAAGTTGGTGGCTTTGCTGTGATAACCAGATTAGAAAACCACATCTCTGTTCCTGTCAGTCTTTCATGTATCCACATGAAATGTTTCAGCAGTTTAGAAAATGACAACATGAGACAGTAAATCCTACTCGACTGGCTGATGTAGGCTCTAGAAATGGGGTGCAGATAATAGTATTGTTAATCATTTGTGTTATTAATTTCATTACCGTCATGCCCAAGAATATAAAATCAGTTTAAACAATTCTTGAACTGCAACTAAAAATTATTTTGATTAGCAATTAGATTGGATTTTTCAACATTTAATCTATAAAATTTATACCACTCTTTTTCCAGAATCCAAGGGTTCAGCTTTACATTGCTCAATTTGTTCGACAAACAGTCACAAACCCCCCAAACAGTCATATTGCGCTGTAGGTGTTTTCAGCAATTTCTGTAACTGCATGGAGATTTCAGCAATTTCTACTTCATATCAATTCAGGAATATGCAGTGTCTCACTCTGAAGCAATAAAATATTATTATATTATATTGTGTATCGTTCCCTAACCTGTCATTTCAGTGGTATGTGAGGATTTCTCTGGAGCCTTCCTGTTTTTCTACAAGGGAAACTCCAGTGTCGGATCGTGCACTGTAGATGAAGCCTGCCTGTCCGCTGAGAGCTTCTTATTAAAGTAAACGTTGGTCCTGTTTACCTTTCAGATCGGAGGATGTAAAACATCAGCAGCAGGGTCCTCTGCACTGCTGTCTTCTCTTGTCTTGCATCCATGCTGTACTTTTTTCCCCAGGGAAAAAATGCCCAAGTTGAAACTCCATTCTTAAATTACTGTTGGTGAATAACCCTCAACATAAATGCTGCTGATGCAGATCACACAGGTGTTTGTTTTTTGTTGACTTCACAGGAAGCCATTGAAGAGAAGCAAGACTTGGTGTGATATGATAACTACTTTTTAGTTTTGATTAACAGCTGTGCAGCAGCATTTTGTGTTAGCTGCATGCAGGAAACGTTCATATTTTGGAGGTTGTTTGTCACAACTAATGATTGTATTGTGGATTAATAACTCTATCTAGAGTTCAAGGCATTGTCTTCAAAATGATTCACATTGCAGTCTAACACCCTAAGGTATTCAGTTTACAGTGATAAAAGCATAAAATTCTTACAAGTGAGAAGCTGGAATCAGGAAATAAAACACACACAGATAGAACAGATAAAAAACAGCAATTCAAAGCAGTTTCACTTCCTCTGCTTCTTTTCATCCTGGCTTAATAACAGGAAAGATGCTTGGTTTTTGTCTGTTGCTGATAAAGTGAAGCTGGGTGTGGCTCTCCACACTCCACTAATAATTTGATAACCTATGTATTATTTAATTGAAAGCATAAAGCACCCTGTGTTCTCTCCTATGTTTAATCATTCTGGCATTTACAAGAACTGTGAACGCAAAAAAAACTGCAACTAATGACATATAATTATATTACTTAAGTAATCTCTCAATTATTATTTGAAATTTTATATACAAAATTACCAAAATAGTGAAAAGTTTCATAACAATTGTCTTCAGACATCTTCTTTTGTCCAAAAATCGCAAATTTTCAATGATATAAAACAGAGAAAAGCAGCATTTTTGCTTCATCAGTGACTTAAACGATCAATTGATTAGCAAACCTGTTGCTGATAAATTTCCAGTAGACAGGCTATAGTCCGTCATTTCAGCATCTTCAATCTTGAAAGCAGAAAAAAAGTCATCAGAAGCACAGAATTACATACCTCTTAAACTTCTATAGTTCTCTACTTACACCAGTTCTATGGAGAGCTATTTATAGGCCAGCCCCCACTCTGTAAAGTGGTGGAACTACAAAGCTGTCAGAAGGAATAGACTCATGCAAAGCTGGCTCACCGACCTTCCGGCTATTCAAACAGGAATGTTAGTCGTGTCTGCTGTGACCTTTCACAGCACAGGAAGTGAAGTACGACCGCAACCAACAACAACAGCAGCAGCAGCAGCAGCAGCAGAAGCAGTAAAGCGGTGTCTCCACTGAGAACTTTTCTTTACAGTCATAACTACTGTTATCTACTTTGACCTTTCCAAACAGTAGAAGTGGAAGCTCTGCTGCTGATAGCGGCAACAGGAACTTGACTTTGTTACGATTTATGATGGAGAAGTTGTGCCGCTTTTTGTTCCCAACCAGGGCTGCACCTAATCATTGTTTTCAGTGTTGATGAACAAATAGGGAATCTTTCAGTGTAAAGGTTCACCAAAAGTGTGCAAACACCCAACACACCAGGGCCCGTATTTATGAAGCTTCTCAGAATTACTCATAAGAACACGGCTAAGAACTGACTTAAGAGTAAAAAGATTCTTGGCTCAAAGCTGTGCTTAAAAGTTATCAAGCATCATAGTCCTAATTTGAGTGAAGTGTAGGACTAAATCTGAAGTGTCAGTCTTAGTGCTGATTTACGACACTTTGCTGTGCCGCAAAAAGGATTTTGGATGACAATGTAGCCAAGGACCAATCACTGAATAGATTTCCTTATTTAAGAATATTCTCAGATAAACTGATAAATTGAATGGTCAAATTCCTAATAGGAGTTTATATTCAACACACGTTTAACATAAAGACTTTTCAAGAGAATACATTATGATATAGGCCTACACATTAATAAATGAAGGATAAAAAAGTTTATCTTTTATATGAGCGCCATCAGATGCACCTACTACTCCTGTATTGCTGGCTATTTGCATGAACTGTGTTTGCTTCTATCGGATTACGGGGTGTTTTGTTGGGAAGTCGATTAAAATCGTGAAGCTCTGAAGCTGAAGTTCCATAATTGTTTTCATGACTATTCGGCTTATTGATGCTTGTGATGGCCAAAATCATCAGCATTGCTGCGTTTGTCCTGTGGCAAATAAACAAAACGTCATCACCACCTTCAATTTAACTGAAAACGCATGACTGCGTAAAGTCAGTGACGAGATGACATCCCTCACCAACTCGCTGACAAAGATTATGCCTACGCTGTCCGACCGCATCTAATTAACTGTGTGTCGTCAAATAATTCAGAAATTCTTCCTCTCCTAAAATATTCGCGCATGTCTGTCTCCACAGTGCCATCACAAGCCCCTACTGGCAGCTCCTAACCACTTGAGAGACCTCTTGAGCTGTCTTAAATAACTGGGAGAGTAAGAGTGATTCTTAGCTTTGAGAAATTTGATAACTTTCTTTTATTCTTAAGTTTAGAAGTAGGAGTAAATTTCATGAATTCTCAGCACTTAAGACTAAAATGGCACTTTGAGAAGCTTGATAAATACCAGCCCAGAACCCAAAGTGACTTCTTTACACTGCTTAATTTTCATTCTGACCATGTTTTAAGAGCTGGAAGTTCTTACAGTGCTAGTTGCTTTTTTTAAGGCTATTTATATCATTAATCATCCCTAAAAGCACAAAGAACTTAAACAGCATTTAGTGCTCAGAGGATTAATTGATAGAAGTACAAATGCAAATTATAGATACAGTGCTTATCTTGATTGGATCATTATTAATCCCATTCATTAGTCTTGATATACTGAGTAAGGAAAGTTTCAGTTTTAATATGAAATGCATCTGTAGACTTGGCTGGTTGACAGAGCACTGCTTTACACCCATATGTCAATGAACTGTTAAGAATACCGCTGCAAAGGTAATACACTGATACATTAAATGGAAACACAAGGAGTATCAAAGAGTAATTAAAAGTAGATTTTCTTTGACACAAAGGTGACATTCTTCATACCCTTGTTAATGAGTCTGTTAGCAGTGACCAGATCTGCCTGCTAGCTACAGTTAAGATAAAAATAACCGAGCCTTAGACAGTATCTGGGTCACGTTCTTTGATGCTCACTGTTTGGACACAGATGCAGTGACGGTGCTGCTGGTGATTCTCAGTGGATTCATACAGCAGTAGGGGTGGGAATCACCAGAGGCCCCATGATACGATATTATCACGATATTTATGTTGCGATTAGATTTTAAATATATTGAGATATATTGCAATTTATTACCTTTTTCCAACTTCCAATTAGGTCCCTAAAGTCAAACTTTGTCAACATCTGTTTATCTAAAAAGATACATTTCTCTGTTTGGTCCTGTTAAGTTTTCTAGTGGACTAAAAAAGCAATAGATTTTATTATTCTAGTACCAAAAAGTTAAAACTCCCATCTGCAATTTATATACTAAAATACCGATACTTGGCGTCCGTGTATCGTGTATATTTTTTCCCCCACCCTTATACAGCAGCAGGATTTCTGTGATTTGTTTTATATTTGCAGGCTTTTTGAGACATTTCTGTCACCGAGGCCATTCATTGCTGATGTTTTTTACACGATTGCCACTAAAATAGGAGAGACACCTTTAGCTTGGATGGCATCTAACAGACATCACAGTTTAACTGCCCTCTATTTTATTAACTGTTTAATCATTTAGTCTATAAAATGTAAGCACATATTTTCCTCATCATGTTGTCTTTACTTGGCTGGTTTTATCCAACAAACAGTCATGAATCCAAATGTATTTAATTTAAAATCCTACAAAACAGAGAAAAACACAAAATCTTCATAGAAGATACAACATACTTCCGGGATGTATTTTTTATAAGCCAGCAGGCAGCAAGATGAGATGGCACAGAACAGGAGAGGCTGTGACAAAGATGACGCTGCAAGTTCACTTGGCTTTTAGTCCAAAAGCTTGCTCAGCTACCGAGACGCACTGTTTAATAAGAGTTTGTGGACAGAAGAGGAGCTCCCTTTTCTCCTCCTCTGCGACCCCACCCAGCCACTTAGGCCCAGTCCAGAACCTGGATGAAAAAGCTCTTCGTCCTCGCTTCTTGCTACTTAGAGCCCATCCTCGTTGTGGAATGCAAGGGTCATGCTGCATCCTAAAGAGGAGAAAGAGGAGAGATGTTGGGATTAGGCAGTTGAGGGAAAAGGCTTTTGAAATGAGGGATGGATGCAAGAGGGAGAATGGGGGGGGGGGAGAAGCAGAAGGAAGGTCAGTTGCTCCTGTACATCCTTCCTCCTTAACACTGGTCATGTGTCTCTGTGGGGATGAAGAGGAGTTGGGGGGGGGTTTGATGGAAGGCACCATGGCGGCTGTTATCCCTCAGCATGAGACGGCACACGCTGAGGGGAAGAGTAGGGAGTTGACAAAAATCATTTCTTCAATTACTACAATTTTCCCACTTATCCAACACTTCCAGTATGTTTTTAGATGCAATTGCTCAAATGTGAAATGAACAATTTGTTAAAGCCTTAAAGTATTCTTATACTCTTGTATATGCACATCATAATGTATTGTTATGATGTGCGTGTAATCCTGCAGTATCTCAAGGCGGCCATCCTGCCTGTTGGCCTTGTGGTCACATACTTTCTTTAGTGTTCATTAACAGGTTAAGTAGGGAAAGTTGTGTAGGCTATATGACTCCTTTTTAATTAGTGTATTTATTTCAGAAGAGGGTGCAGCCATTTTGACACCAGTTTGTTGACACTGTACTCCACTTGGCTGGTTGTATTTATGGTCTGTATGATACAGCATATTGCTGAAATAAGTCAGAAAAAATCAGATATCCAGTCAGAATGTCAAATGTGGATTTCTGCTTTTCTCTGTTCATGTCATTGTAAATTGAATATATTTGGGATTTGAACTGTTGGTCTGACAAAAAAAGCTGTGTGAAATTAGCACTGTTTTCTGACATTTTATTTATCAAATAATGTACACCAACATGTTGTAGAGTTTAATGGATCATGTACTGAAAAACTATCAGCTGATATGGGGGGAAAAATCCATTATAATGTTGATGATGTAGAAGCTTCTCAGCCTCAGCTAAATGCCTAAAATTTGAAATGTAAATCCAGACGGCAGCATCAGCTGTGTGCTTGTCCCACTGACACTACTATTAAAAACTCATCATAATTAACAAATTGCCCCTTTTTAATGTTTTGCCTTTGTGTCTGCCGGCTCCTGTGAGCCTTGTTATATAATCCAACTATAGTATGTGCTAATGTGGTGTTGGGTGGAGCGTTGGACGCATGCAGACAGTGCAAAC